GAGCGGGAATAAAATTTCAATAAATGCAGCAATAAAGTGGTGAAAATCTCAGCTGAGCACATCAGGGTTCACAGACTTTGGGCAGTGAAGTATACCTCAAGTGAGCTCATTAGTTGAAGGGTCAGCAAAAGTGTTTGCTCCTGCCTAGTAGTAGTTTCAAGAGAAGTGGCCTTGGGAATATGGGCACCATCTCACATTGGTGTGATTTCCCAAGATGTTGCCTGATTTTCAGGATTTGTGACCTTAAATTTTTGACCTCTGGATTTTGGAGCTTGAATCATTCAGATCTGTTTACTTTTTTGCCCTTTGTAGAAAATCAAAGTTCAGGATTCACATTGTCATAGCCATTAGTTTGCTATTAAAAGCCCCGACAAATCACAATATGTGGTCATTGTCATTGTCAAACCTTTCTGTGGTTCATGGATTTATTTCCATGCCCTAAACTCCCCCCCCCCTGATCTGGAGATCATCAAAAGTATTCAAACTATATTTTTTTTCAGAAGGTATAAAATTGGGGCAAAAGGTTTACATGCACCGGGTAGAACAAAAATGGTTTTCCTTAAATTTCACACCTTTACTCATTTCTACCAACTTTTCTTTTCATGAGGACAGGCAAGATGGGTCTCTACTTAATATACATGGTGTATGCATCAAATACAAAACACCCAGAGATGTATACATAATTGCATATTTATATTTACAAAGAAATCAAAATTTTACGTACTCCAAGTCTAGTATTTAGTGTCATTTTCTGTATTTTTGGCCACATCTCTCAGTTACAGTGGACCGCTTTTTGAAGTGTTTTTGAACCACAGTAAGGGGATAGATTTTAATTTTTCACAAAATGATTTTTCAGAAATATTAGTATTTTGAACCCTAATAAATGTATTTTCAATTGAAGTACACACTATGAATGTTAAGTTGAGATACATGTACAGTTTGACCTCATGAAAAAGGTTTGCAAAACTAATTCAAACAGTGAAAATTTGAGGAAAACTGTTTTTCTACCAAGTGTTTGTAGCCTTTTAGCCCCAACTGTATTGCTAAGTTGAGAACTCCTTCAGTTATGGCCTTAAGACAATTCCAACATTATCTTGCTGTAGGCTCCTGTCACTGTCCGTTGATCGGGGTCTGAGCTGGGAGGAAGCTGTGGAGAGATCAAAGCGATTCAGCAGTAAAAATGATGGCTTCTACTGCTCCAAGCGAGAACAGTTTGGGAAGAAGCTGTACATCTTGGCAACAAAGAAGGAGGACTCCACACATCTCTTCAAGATAGCAAGGTTGATCATTTTTTATACTTTTAACCCGCTTTATTCATTAAATCATGCAGTGTCCTGGCTTTTATTTGTCAGTTTTCTTTTGGTTTGGTTATACGGGTGTAATTTAATCATAATTTGTCCACTGATCAAGTCACTGTCCAACTTATATTAAAGTTAGGCTGTGTGTCTGGAAATAAGAGACTGTGTGAGGGTTTTGTCCCCTTTTATTTGACTGGCTCATGGCTTGAGACCGGATGACTTGTGGTTGACTTGTAATGGGGTGCTTAAAACTTGATCTGCTAGAATAAGTTTTGATCAAACTTAAACAAAATGAGTCACTTTTCAAAGCCATAATGGAAACCCTTAGGTTTTTCACTCAGATAATGTGAATTTTCATCAGGGTGCTCGTTTTAATCTTAGCTTTAAAATGTATTTTTTAAGATTTCTTGTTATCCCAATTTCTGTTATCCCGTAGCGTTTCTCTATTGCTTATCAGTATAAACTTATGTATACCTACTTGTCTTTGATAGACCCAATACTGGCGTGTCTCATTCTGACGAGGACTATAGTGATCTGATATTGAGATACCGGCCAATCAGCATGGAGGATGCAGGTTTGTTGCTCATTTTTCCTTTGTGCTGGATTGCATAATCTTCTCTTTTTTTCCGTCAGTCCCCATTCCTTTCTCCTGTCACAACTAAAAAGTGAATTCTCAAAATGCAAAAGGTCAATTCTGGGCTAAAATAGAAATTACATTACACTATTACCGACCTCAGTATCATTGGTAATCCTTACAAAGAGGTTTTTAAAAAGATAGTGGAAATAATAACTAGCAACAAAACCTTTAAATGGCCTGCTTTTTGTGGTAAAACTCCTTTTTTGGGGTGAGGTTGGTAGCAGTACAAACAAATTTCAATTTTTGCGTGGAATTTCCCCCCAAATCTTTCAGATTTCCCCTTTTTTTGTTCATGTCTTTCACTTTTGGACAGCCAAGGTGGTGAGATCTAGTCACAGCTCTTGAGAGCAGCTCTTCTCACTCTACAGCTCTATAGCTCGCAAATATTTTTGTTTTGGCACATAACCCTAAGGCTTATTGGTGGATATGCATCTATGTGTGGATAAGCATGGCATTTCTTGTGTTGACCTGAGAACAAAAGATGTCCAACAAAAGATGCAGACACCAACAGTGCTATCTTCTAGTTTGACATAATGACGCAGGAGTGTCTTTATCATAGTTCGCTTTGCTGGTCACCTGACTTGATGCTCTATGACTGATTGGTTTATGATTGAGCTAATTACAGTTCAGCCCTCAGGCTGTGTCACAGATATTCCTGGCAATCCACAGTTTGTTTGTCACTGATTTTGAGTAGGAAATGACAATCCATTCTAGCTGTACTTTCAAGGGGATTCTAACTGCTGTGACCAACAGTGGAAGGCCAACACTGTGAAGTGTTCAACTTCTTAAAAGAAGAAGTTTATGAAAACAAGAACAAGAATCTAGCGCCATTGTCATTGACCATTTCTGATGGTCCCATTCAGTGGTGAAAAGCATTGTGTTGGGAATTATCACTGTGCTCGGCATCAAAGGGGGCCACTGTTAATGACTGTTGCTGACACTACCATGGTCATTTGATTTGTCTGTAGTGGTTGTATTTTTGTGTTTGTAGAAGAGGGATGGAAGGAACAGTATGAAGCAACCAAAGATAAGTGCATCCATGGCTCTCACTGCAAACATCCTGCTACCTGCACCAGTGAGTATATGCAGGCATTGATCTGTCAATTCCCCCAAGAAAAAAGAAAAATGACACTACTTACCACCCAAGTAGAAAATGTAAAGGGTCAGAGAATGTGACCGTTTTTACCTCTGTGCTTCTCAGAGTGGGGATCTGATGGCTTCTTACAAGAATATGAGGACATGCAAGTCCTCAGAGTATCCAAAATTGGAATGATTGAAATGAGCTGGATTGTCATTCCACAGAATTCTTCTTGGCCTGGTTCACAAGCATGCAAGCTGAACACTGGCTGTGAAATGAGTTGACCCTGTGCCATATATAGGTTGTGATGATGACAACACTTTGGAAACCATCAGACATACCCTAGACCAGACTCGTATCTCTGTTTCTGGAAACTCTGTTGGAAAAATGCATTTTCAGTCTATTTTTCTTCTGACTGATTGTTCTTTTGTCCAATTTTGTCTGAAATGATCACGTCAAAAGTGTCTCGCTTTTTTTTGGTAGTTGGTTCCCGGTTGCACCGAATGGATCTGTTGTGTGGAGGCATAGTGACATTACTATCAACCCTTGAAGCAACAGTCATAAAACATGCACAGAAACTAGACCTGAGGTATGTAGAAACATCCGATTGTACATCTGCATGCAAAAATGTACTTACTGTTTATGTTGTGTGAAACCGACCCAACCCACAACAGAGTTCAGGTCAGGACGGATCGGTTTTTCCCACATTTCAGTCGGATCGGGTCAGTTTTGGGTTTGCAATTGTGGTTTTCAGCTCGGTTAAGCCATATTGTGAAAAAAAAATAACCAAAAAACCGAAATGGGAAATTCGCTTGATGAATTTACTTTTTAGAGCTTCAGATTACATAGCCAAATTTATACTTCCAGGTACCCTTGATGCTCGTGCATGCATACAATGAAAATGTGCGGTTGCACAGTTGGAATACCAAACAGTCGTGCATGGTTTGCAGACATCAGGAACTTTATAGCGCATGTCACCTCGTTAGAACATGGGACAAACGACTACATATGACAAGTATATTTAGATGCGGGTTTGTTTGGCATAGTCAACCCAAGCCCATACATGTACATCATTAATGCCCACTAAAGAAGTAGAGATATCAAAGACATGGCTCCAGCTTTCACTCACCATTGCAGTTACATTGCAATACTTACATAATATAGCTGTAATCAGGAGCAGTTGGAGAGAAAAATTGTACCAAAAGTGACTGGGAATGTGTTCAGCATGAATGTGGCTATTATTTAATGTTTTCCAACTGGAATCCTGTCGCAGCATAATTTTACCCAAAGTTTGCAACTCCTGAAGCTATCTGGAATCAAGAAGTCAGGAGAGAAATGACAGAGTGGAGCAAGAGAGCTGACATTTTCCTCTTTGTGCTTTTAACTTGTGCTTTTAGCTTTGTGCTTTTGGGGTAGTGGTTAAGCAGCACATGCCAATCTTACAAAAATACAGTGTGAAATCTTATCAGGGGAGGCATAGACTTTTAAAAAATGGCACAACGGTGAGCATTGAGGTGTCTCACAAAAGTTCAGTGATCACTGCAACAGTGTTTGTAAAAACCTCTTTTCTTAACCAGCATTGTTGCTATTTTGTGTGTGAGTAACTTTCAGTTTGTATAAATTTCAATTGGGATGAGTAACAGCCTGAAGTGACTCACGAATGTCTTTCAAAAGTTCATCTTTGTGATACCGTATGGGTTGGGTTTTGTCTTGTCACAGTAAGGCCAGCTACAGCATGCGAGTTGTACGAGTGGCTCTGAGCGATGAGAAGCGAGTCATCGGGATTCGTTACCCGGAATGCTTAGTGGAGATTGCAGAGGAGGCAGTGCGAGAGCAAAAAATGATAGAAGCATTGCAGGCGGTAAGGACAAAGAAAGAATTAATTTAAATAAATTATTTAGACTTGGAACTTTTTATCAACAAATTGTTGCCTACCGAGATTTTGCCACATTTTTTGTTCACACTTGAAAGATGAATTGTACCTAAGCTAAACATCAAGTGTATGAAAGATTAACATGCATCATGATAGGGTTATCACACACGTGGACAGTTCTTCGTATAAATTGGTCACAAAAATCATCTCAACAAGTAGGAATACCCTTAATAGAGACCAAATGAATCGAAGTATCACACTGAAGTGCTGTGAGCTTTTCTTCTGGACCATGATTTGCATGTACATGTAGCAATATTCTGTCATGTGACATTCCTTACACTTGTATGCTGGGTATGCATCAAGTACTAACATTTTAATGCCGTAAATGATGCTCCAGTTTGGCATTGAATGATGGCGATGATGTTACATTTATTTTTAGAGTTTGGACCAAGAAAATTCAGACCTAGTGCAGTATTTTTCTTTTGATATGTATTTGCCCTCAGAAAAATGTATACATGTATTGTTTTGAATTTGTGATGAGGGGGTTATTGGTACTTTAATTTCAGTCTTTAGACTTTAGATTCAAGTTTTCATTCAGCCAGTTTTTGTTAGAATTAGAAAATCGTTGAATGTGATCTGCTGCTAACCTTAGAGAATCACGTTTTTGTGGAGAAGCGATAGTTTTGACTTCCTTCTCGACTTTTTTCTCTGCTTGATCTTCACAGAGACTGCGACAGAATGCAGCAGATGACACAGATGCGACCTCAGCTGACCTTTCCCAAACACCAAAGCTTGCCACAGTTGAACCTGAATCGCCTGTAAATCCAAAGCTTGTCAAAAAGGCCATGACTGCTCCAGTCACTCTGAACACGTTCTTCAAACCAACCTCTCGATTTGAAAGTGGAAAGTCAAGAAGTTCCTCCCCTTCCGAAAGTCCCTCCCCTTCTAATGACAAGGAGGATACCATTTGTTCTTCAGCTAAGGTGAAGCAAAGGGGATCAAAACGAGGTGGACGAAAGACTTCCAGGTATTCCCCAATAGGTCAAGAAAAGAAAGCTTTGGAATGTTCCAAAACTGAAGCAGCCGGAACAGACAGTGATGTTGACTGCTGTATTATGATTGAGGATCAATCGAGTACCACCCCCCAGATGCAGAATGGTATGGACCAATTGAAGGATTGTGCACCAAAGCAGGGTTGTATGGAAGAGGTCACGGATCCTTCCTTTGGAAAAGAGGTCATGCCGGCTGAAGATGCCCAAACTGAACGTATCTATGATGTCCCAGATCTGGCTATTCCTTCTCCACACAACATTATGGGTAAATTGCCCCCTGTCCATAGCAGTGCATCATTCACAGCTGCCGACCAACTTGGCAGCTCACTCACTGTCCGGTCAAACTCAGCGAATTCCTTCAGCAGTAAACGTCCCCTGCAGGATGCCAATGGTCTTACTACTGACGGAGCTAGCCAGCAACCTGTTGCCAAAAAACAGAAGCCGGGTACCAGCCTGATGGAGAGTGCAACCAAACAGGGTTTACAAGGCAAACTGACCTGCCCAGTTTGCAACCAAGAATTCCCAACTGGGACATGGTTAGCACAGCTCAACAAGCACGTTGATGCATGCCTACTCAAAGCCTAAAAGAGCTCCATATTAAAGACTTTGAAGCATTTTATATGTTTCCAAAACTCAGTCCAGTCAAATAATTTTGTGTTCACCCAGCATTTTGCTGTATCCTGTACCACAGATTTTGTGATACTGATACGCACGTAGTGAAAAATGGCATTTACCATAACCTTCCCAGATCCTCCAAAATCCAAGAAGTTCCAGGGAATTTTGTGGGAATAATTAGGAACCACTAAAAAATACAAATAGTATGCCATTGATTTCCTTCAGAGGATTTTGGAGGATCAAGAATTCTAGCAAATATTCAGAACATTCTCAGAAAAGGGCAGTGCAGTAGTCAAGTACATGTACTTTTCAATTTAATACCAAATTCTCTGTCACATATTGAAATGGCTAGGAGGGAACAAAGCTCAAGAACATGGGCATTGGACGGTAAATGCACAGAGGTAAGATAACAAAAACTATGACTTTAGAACATCACTTTTTCATAACAAATTAAGCGGTTACAACAAAAGTATTTGGCGAAGTATTTTTCAAGTTCTTTTCTCCTTAATACTTAATCTTTACAAACTGGGAGTCAGAAGTCTTAAAAATCGGTGTTTATGGAGCGGGGTATGGTAACAATACTGGTGCAAGTCCAATCAGGTTTTCGCATGCATAGACCGGTTCCTATCTGTTTTGGGGTTTTCCCCCAAGTTTTCATTTAATGGGCTAATTTGGCATATCAATTGGGTAGAGTCATTTTAAGAAGAAAGCCCTTGATGTCCAATGACCTACAGTGTGTTTCATGTCGTGCATGTACTGTTTGAATATTCAACTGGCTCAAAGGGAGCCAGGAATCAAGTTACCATTGTGTTAGTGTTGGTTGTAGTCATGGTAGTCATTCTGTTCAATTCACCTAGTACATGGAACATCCAATGATAACGTACTGTACATGGACCTCACCATTTCTCAAACCTTATGGTTAGCAATTTGAAAAATGACAAATGCCTATAAAGGCTTGTCTTTTACACAAATTTGAAGGTGAATACGCTTGACAATATTAATAGCGTGTGTTGTTACAAAGGCCAATTGTCCTGTATTGAAGGAGAGTTTGGGTTCTACTTTGTGGAAAGGAACTTATTTAAGCAATGGACCAAGAAACACTTCTAATATTTTGCCAAGTATTTAATGATAACTCGACATATAGTTCTTTAGAACTTTAGCAGTAAAAAGAAGTATAAAATAAAGATTATTTCCATTATGATGATTTATATTACCTGTAAAATAATAAGTGTTGTAAGCATTTCTAGCTTTTTCCAGCAACTGAACAAATTCAAAATATTGCTGAGACATATAACTTTGCCTCCGGGGTTCCCGGTACCAGGTACCAGGGGTACAAATGTTACAAATTTGGAAACATCAGATCAGATACTTACACAGGTTTTGGTAAAAACATCCATTTTTTTTACCTGAAACTCCCAATTTAATTTTTGTTTTTTTTACCTTCTTACATATTTAAATACATGTAGGACTGAGATACCACTAAAACCTTTAACAGAATAACATATACACCTGTACATCCATACAATTATTAATAAGCCAACCACCCATAAAACTTTGTATTTTGATCTTGATAAAATTATTTGCATAACTTTTTAATATGAGCTTATCTCTTTGAATATCAAATAAAGAATGAAATCTAAATTTCACAATAGAATGGCTTTGCTTTATTCTCATGAGTAAACCTTTGGAATGTTTGTGGTTTGTCAAATTTGTCCAACTATCAATCTTAACAGTGACGGTTTTATTAAACGTGTGAGAATGCGGTATTTCAGTTCAGATTTTTACTCTGAATTTCAGCTTTTTTGTACACTTACTCTCTACAAAATTGTGGGAACGTTTTACATTTCAGCTTTTTGCCGTTTTGAACTTTTTGTATTAGTGGCCACTCGCGCTGCTGATTAAATAGGCCAGTGCATTTTTCTGGCTAGAAGAAATACATTTAGTTTTGAGCAGTGACATAACGAGGGTACAAGTCACTCTGTGGGGTACCAGTACCCAGAAGTGTACAGATTTTCCCGGGGGGGGGGAGTACTGAAGAATCTTGCAATGTTTCACTGGACATTCCCTCAGTACGGTCCCCTTTGATGGCAGAAAGCACTGCATTGGGATGGGTGCAGAGTGACTGCCATGAAGCAGTGGCTCCATACCACAGTAACTGCAAGGTACCCTTGCCATTTGCATGGGCCACTATAAATGAACAGTTATGGCTTTATCATGGCCACCACATTCACCCAGATACATGTACTTTCAAGCCATTGCATGGAGCTCCGCATCCAGCACATCTCAGATACAACTCGCATTTCCACTGGGTCCTGTGGATTTCATAATGAGAGTCAACTGTACACAGAATTGGTCCATGCGATGTACGATAGGAATGGACAGTCACTCGGGTACCTATTTTTGTATTTCAGATCAGGTCAGACATTTACAGCATTGAATACAACCCATATACAAATTAACAAAGTACATATTATTCAAAATGTCTTTGGTGTTTGCAAAACACAATCTGCATTCCACTTGAATATGCATACACTTTTAAAAAATTCTGTTGACTTTTACATGTCTAAATGTGTCTGACACCATTCGGAATACAAAATATTGCAAACATTCACATCTGGTTAAAAATGAAAAAGTACAAATAATCCAGGAACACTACTTACATGTACATTGCTTCAATTCATTTACAACAGCAACCATTCAGCATGCAGTGTGTGTGCAACAGAAAGCTACAGAAAGATATAACTTGATAAACCCAAGGCAGCTGATGAATGCAAATATTCAACAGTGATACCAAAAAATGCGATTTGTTCAAGTTTTTCTCCTTTTTTAAAGTTTCTGTAAAAACGGTTTTGGTGCTTTTGTGGGAATTTTGTACAGCCAAATATCTGAATAATTAATTGAACTGATTGAAGTTGATTATTTGACTATTCCATTATTCAATACGGGTGATCCACAAAAGTGCGTCTCCAAGAGTTTGCAATGCGTTGGCCAATCACGATGTGCAAAATCTGTCAACCCAATGTGTGACAACAGAGCAACTTTTCCTTCCCGCCCAAAGTTTCAACCTCAAAAAGAAAAGAACCAACCCAACTTCTCATTGGCTTCTGGCCAGGCCTTGCCTAGTATCCAAGAACAAAATCTGATTGGATGGTTGGCCCTCCAAGCCGACTTTGCCATTGGTCAAGATTTGCAGCTCCTGACTGTTTTCTGGATGAGAGGATCCCAATTTTGTCAGAAAATTTTCAATGGGTTTCCGTGTATAAAATGCCTCCCAATCAAAATATATGCACCTGTACATCTAATGCCACAGCAATGCTATCCCTTCTGCCAAACACCTAAAATGAACACGGTGTACAATCTATTGTCACATTTGTTGCTTATAAATAATTTGATCCTGAAGTGATAAAATTTATGTCAAAAGGGTTGACAGATTGACATTGTGATTGGCCGACGCATTGCAAACTCTTGGAGGTGCTCTATTGTGAATCGCCCATATTAAATACAATGTACGTGTATGTTTTTTAGAAAGCATCTGAGTTTGATTTAAAAGGAAATTTCTTAGACAAATAGTTCTGTAGCTGTGCCAATGGTGAATGACAACTGGCAACTGAACCAAACTAAATCTGTCCTATGATAGGTATCAGTACTTCTCATTGGGAATTTTTGTAGTACCGGGTAACTTGTTTTAAAACATGCATTGCCTGGAACAAAAGAAGGGGAAGGACCTTAGTTTTTTTTAATACATAACAGAAACAATGTGTATTCCAAACTAGGAGCCACAGCACTTGTCACTGTTTATTAACAACATTTCTATACCTGTCCATTTTTGTTTCTGTCCCCAGGTATCTCATTTGACATTGTTAATTATTTCCAAGAGTCATTAAGAAATGCAAATTACCTGTGAAATGGACATTGGTTTGAAGTAAATTAAATAATATCCCAGCCAACTTCCACTAATAAAGTGCTACAGGACACCACTAAGGTTGAATGTTTGGACCCGTAATTTAGAGATTCACCCTTCTAAATAACTGATATCTGAAAAGCCAAAAATCCCACAAAGCTACCAGTAGATAAACACAAACACGAATAAATGAGAGCTAAAACTACATAAAAGTACATGTATGTTTGATTTACACTAATGCCAACATGTTCCAAAGTCAGTTGAGTTGACATAACGTAGCAAAGGTTAGATTAACCCTAACAACCCTATGAATACCACAAAGTACTACTTAGTAGTAAAATGTAGTATTCAGTGCTGTCGCTTGTAAGAGGACATGATTTTACTGTTCTCTGAAGCCATAAAATACAATAGATAAGACAATGTACCATACAGTGCTGTGGCACTATGAATGCATGACTTTATTGTACTCTGTACAACCTACAACGGAGAGTGCCCTGACCAGAAGTAGTAATTTGTAGCGCTAGGTCCTCTAGGCTCAGACCACTGCTTAGTATTGTGTAGTACTGAGAACTGCAAGCCAAATTTTAGGCAGAACTATTAGGATTAAAAATTAGAATCTTTCGTAAAAGTAGATTATTCTTTTAACTTAATTTCCTAATAAGAAGGTAAAATATTTTGATCTGTTTCTATTTTGGCTTTCACTGACAGACTATTATAAAGTTAAATTCTGTTATAGTTCATCTGTGCACGAGACTGCCGAATTGCACTGCTTTTATTTTAGATTTTCAGAAGTGGGTCAATTGTTGGCAGGATATTTCTCTTTTTAGGTCAGGTAATTTTTTTTTCAGTTTCCATAAATTGATATAGCAGTACTAGCCAATATTTTGTGAATGCTTTTGCCAAGTTGAGTTTTGAAGAAGTTACTGAATAAAAAAAATTACAAGTTCTGACATTTTTGAAAATTATTTTTCCTATTCAAGGACTCCAGAGGCGCGCGCATCAGGGGTCACCCTTCTGTCTCTATTATAAAATGAAGACTTAACTTACTCCTGGCAACTGCTCCTTTGCTTAGAGAGTAGCTGCAATGAATTTTTGTCAGACACAATTTTTCTACAACTTTGTATTCTTGTACTCCTTCCTATTTGGTAAAATGCAATAAATGTGTCCCTTTTGCTTTCCCTGACGACTGAGAGCGCTATTGCTGTGAGGTCATCTAGGGAACATTTAGTCCAGTGCCTATGTTTTTTTGTATTGTGAACCCAGAATTTACTTATTGAAATTATTTCTGAGAAAGGGACTGATGTTTGGTTGTTGCTTTGCATATAAACAACAATCATTCAGCAAAGAAAAGAAACTTTTTAGCAAGAAAATCTACAAAAATATGCCAGAATTTTTGTGTGCTAACCAATGTGACACTGAGTCTTTAGTCCTAAGATGACATCACAGTTTTGCTCATTAATATGGAAATACTTATAAGCATAAAACAAAAAGTCAGTAAAATACCCTTTGAAATAGAAAAAACTTAACAAGGTTAACTGAGACACAAAGGTGCATTCTGAAGGTTTGTATTAGACAAATTGATTGCAGCTACCCTGTCAGGTGGTTAATCTTAACGAGAACAGTACCTTATTGAATACAAGAATGCTTTTATTGATAAACAGAAAGAGAATGACGAGAACCCTAAGTGACCTTATGGTCACTGTGCTCTCCCAGTAATAGTAACAGCACACTGAGTTACAATGAACTCAATGTTCTCATCAGAACCAATCTACTCAGAGTTTTATACACATAATATCTACAAATCGTTTGCAGTTGGACTTACTAGTGGTCCATGTTTTCTTCTAGTGATATGGGAAAAAGATACGCTAATAATAATAATACTGCCCATTTCTCACTTTGAATCACCAAAGGGAGACTTGAGATGCTGGTGACAGCAGACAATGCGGTCCTTTTACTGGTGTTCTCAACAGTTGTGCACCTCCTCAGAACTAGCAACGAGGTTGTCTACTGCCAACAGTATCTCAAAGTATACTGTTAGATCTGGAATTATTGTGAGACTGCCTAGAGGCTTTACCTGGAGATTCTGTTACACCATTGTGTCAGCATCTCTGTTGTTGATCTCAAGGTCCGCCTTCACCACCGAGATGTTTGGGTCCTTGTCTTCCGGCCCCTGAATCCCAATCTCCTCCTTCTCTTCTCCAAGCTTCTTGCCTTTCTCTTGCTCTGCTCTGTCGTCCTCTCCTGTGCTCCCATCATGACATCCACTCTCTTCAGCGATGGTCTCTGGTGCTGTCTCGGCTGACTTGGAGCCTCGTAGGCTTTTCTTCCACTTGGAGGCCACGCTCATGGCGAGGATGCGCTCCCTGGCCAGCACGTGCTCCTGGGATCGCTGTCGCATCAACAGGGGAAGGTCCTGACTGTCATCTTTCAGGAGGTTTTTGTCATATTTTTCATGGAGCTGTGGAATCAAAGTTGGGGGAATGTAGTGTAACAGTTACTAATGGCTTTAACTTATGACCACAGGGTCAAAAGTTTGAATTTGGGTGCTGGCCATACATGTAGGTTGTGGCCTTGGGAAATTCAATTCATCCCCACTTGCCTCTCTCCACCGAGCAGTGTAAGTACAGGCATTAGCTGAGTAGCAACCTGCCTTGCTTCCCATACAAAGGAAATAGAAATATTAGTCATTTCAGGCCAAAGAAACATTTATATAAGAAAAACACTGGCCTGATGAATAAAATTGGCTTAGAAGAGACTTGCTTTGTTTCATGGCAGACTTTTAAGTTTATGTTAGTGTCTGGAAATGATGCCACTTCCATCAACTTTCAATACACAAATCATGTGGCTGGACATACATGTATATAATTTATGCAAACTTTGGGCCTTAAAAAAGGGAAGAGGTTCCTTTCACATGCCTAGATTTCAATTTTATCAAAATTATAAGTAAAAATTTTGTAACATGTAAACTTGTTGGTGTTGGATGACATTTTAATGCATTGATGAGGTACCAATGGGTGTCTGTTCAGCTCTTTTCATTAACCACTTCGGACCGGGGCATTTTTCAACGTAGAGGATGCTGGGCCGGCATGACTATCTTTTTTTCCGT